AGCAGCGCTGTCTGTCAGTCCCTGTGTGGGACACAGATGGGACTGGGCAGGGGTCGGGTCCTGGGAGAGATTCCAAAATAGGGTGATAATGGGAAGAAGGGGCAAAGACAACTGTCATGGAGATGGTGCCGGGGCACTTACCCATCCCTGAATGCACACTGCCGTGTGGTGTGCCTTCACAGCAGGGTGTTGGGGCCATGTTGTGGGGTAGTGGGGCTGGGACAATGCAGGGACAGGACATTTAGAGGGACCACGAAGCATCTGCCAAAAGGTGACAGCAAGGAGAGGTTACACAGCAAGAAATTACAAATTGCCTTTATTGTGGAGGTATGCTTTAGGGAACAGCAAGGCTCACCTGGAGCTGGTGACTGTAGCAGTGAAGAGCAAATATAGGAGCTTTGGTCTCTCATGAGAGCCCAAGGCTGACCATGGAAAATGCAGGGCGGCTCTGGAAAGGGAAGGGGGATTTCATAACAGCAGACACAGGTGAGACTGAGGAACTCAAAGCCCCCTTTGCCTGAGCCGTTACTGAAAAGGTCTGCAGTCCTTTGTGATAAGGGAAAGGGTTCCAGGAGGAGGAGAGCATGTATTGGCAAGAACCTCAGGAAATCAGGAAGGGCCCAGTGCCAGTTTCTGTCCTTTCACAGAACTCCCCATGGCAATGGCAAGGCTGGGGGCTGCCCTGCTGGGAGCAGCGCTGTGGGAAAGATCTTGGTGAGCAGGGAGCTGGACAGGAGGCAGCCGTGTGCCCTGGCAGCAAGGGAGGCCAGCAGCACCCCGGGCTGCAGGACCAGAGTGTGGCCGGGAGATGAAGGGAAGGAATTATCACAGAATCATTGAATCACAGAATCACAGAATGGTAGGGTTTGGAAGGGACCTTGGGAGATCATCCAGTCCAACCCCCTCCCGAAGGGGAGTCACCCAGAGCAGGTCACACAGGAACGTGTCCAGACAGTGTTTGAGTATTTCCACACCCTCTCTGGGCAGCCTGTTCCAGGGCTCTGCCACCCTGAAAGTAAAGAAGTTTTTCCTCCTGGGGACATGGAATTTTCTGTGTTCCAGCTTGTGCCCGTTGCCTCTTGTCCTGTCATTGGGCACTACTGAAAAGAGTCTGGCACCATCCTCTTGACACCTGCCCTTTAGATATTCAGATATCTTTAGATATATCAGGAGGATGACCTCTCTCCACCTGCTGGTCACACTCTTCTGAATGCACCCCAGGAGACCATTGGCCTTCTTGGCCACAAGGGCATAGCACTGGCTCATGGTCAAGTTGTTGCCCATCAGGACTCTCAAGTCCCTCTCTGCAGAGCTGCTTTCCAGCAGGTCAAGCCCTACCCTGTACCTGTAGTGCAAGATCTGCAGGTAACTGCCTCCAGATTTCAGATGCCCAAGTCAGAAAAAGCGTCAACAACCTGGAGAGGATTTAGTGAAGGGCCCCCAGGATGGTTGGAGCTGGAGCACTTTGCCTGTGAGGAGAAGCTGAGGGAACTGGGCTTGTCCAGCTTAGAGAAGGGAAGGCTGAGGGGGACTTCATGGCACCCTGCCAGTACCTATGAGCAGGTTAGGAAGAGTACAGAGCCAGGCTCTTCATCATGGTGCACGTTGGGAGGGCAAAAGACCATGGGCATAAG